CCACAAGGCCAGCAGGGGGCGCTTCTCCTCATCATTTACGTGTACAGAAAGTGAGGCTTAGGTGCCTCTATCCCTGGACGTGTTGATGCGTCGGGGGCTGGTGCCTCAGATTTCGGCCCTCTCCGAGGCCAGGAAGGGTGCCTCCCCTCAATATTGGGATTCAGCAGTAACATAATGAATTTTATTGTTGGGGAGGAGAAATCTTTGGCTCTTTGATGCCGCAGATTTAAAGCAGCCTTTATTTCGTAATCTCTGAGGTCTGATCTCAGCTACAAAGGGGCACCTATCTGTGACATCGCTATCTTTCCTGGAGCAGATCTCCAGACTTTGCCATGACAGGCTTTCTCCGCTTACAGCAGATGTGAGAATGCACCCCCCATTGCGTCTCGGCACCCTGTCTGTATCCCCCCCAAAGACCAATGCTGGCCGCGTTGGCATCTTTAGGTTCTTGGTTCGATTCCTAAAAATCGCACTTATGTACATGTTAACTTGGGCTATAGCTCAGGGCCTCAAGTTGCAGGGGGCCACTGGTTATATTTCTGGTTGTTGTAGCAGTTTTTTAATGCTGTAGCCCAGGGACCCCTCCCCCTCCTAAACTGGCCTCTGACTATGGAGTTTAAGCTAAAAAAATGGACCCTTAATTCCTTCTGCAAGCAGGTGGAATTTGGTCTGCTTACATCACCCACTGACTAGGCCCTAGCAGACCCATGGACCCAGGCTGCCTTCACCTTAGTTCCCACGCTAATAAAACCCTTAAACTCTCATCAAACCAGGTCTCCTTCCCCTTGTCTGATTGGCCTCAAAGATAGTGCCCAGTGACATCCTCTTCCCCCATCTCACTTTCTCATGGCTTCCATCACGCCATCCTCGTCACGAAACCTCCCAGTTCCAGCACCCTGGCCTCATTGACACCTTCCTTCGACTATCTCCAGCATGATCTGATCACGCTCTCTCTGATTGGCTCCCGGTACGTAGCCGTATCTCGGTTCCACCGCGGTGGTGGCCACGTGTCTCGCTCGAGAGGCTGCTACACCTAACCAGCCCTCACTGTCTGCAGCCCTGATCGTTTAATTAGTTTGCGATGGTGCTACACTTAATATTTATCCAAACAGGCCTCGTTCCATCCGCGTCCAGCTACTGACGGGCGATCACGTACACGCGCGGTAAAACTGAGTTACGGGGACAGCAGGGCAGATGGGTCAAATCCTCTAACATCAACTCACCACTACAGAAAACCAAACAGTCTTTTCTTGGCCTGTTGTCAGCAATCACATTTATCAATTGATTTACAGAGAGATTACCATTTAAAGGGAAAAACCTTAGGGCAAATAGTAACAGATAGTCTAACGACGCCTATTAAAAGCTCCAGGAAATGGATACTATTTCCCTACACTACCGAAATGTACCTCGATGTTTATCTTAAACGTCTCGGGGCAGCCGAAGCCATTGAAACGGGCGTGCACCAGCATGGAATGTGTTTACTTGAAGAAGTCATTACCGCACTAAATTTTCGGCCTGAATTTAAACATGGCCGGATCCCTCTGCCCACAGATCCCATGCGGTATTGACGGTGAGCGCTCGGCCATTTACATGATCGGCCGTCAGCCAAAAACANCCCCCCCCCACCCCCCCTTTGATTCACACGTATTCAATTTACCCTTGGATTGCATTGCCAACTACTGAGTGATAGCACAAGGCACAGGAGATTCCCAGCCACCCCCCCAGTCCCGGCCCAGCTGACTGTGGCCATTAGCTGAGCAGCCCCGGATTACCCACGCTGAATTTTATTCATGTCTGTCGCGTCCCGAGCACTGGCTGTGTTTCTGTACTTAACAAGCCTCTTCAGTTATTAAAAGCTCTATATTCGGCAGCGCGAGCGTCCATTTTCCAGAACAATACCAGATGGGCCGGTCTGGGATCACGCAAAACCTTCTTTGTGGGCCCAGTTTCACGGGACTCCCTGTCAGCATCCATTTCAAATAAAACGCGGCTGAGAAAGACCGGCGCCGAGGCTGGCCATTGAGGACCCTCCGGACGAGGACCCCTCCGGACGAGGACCCCTACGGACGAGGACCCCTCCGTGAGCCGGCTTGCCTCCCCGCGGCTCGGGACACCTCCGCCCGTCCTGATGCAGAATACTGGTGTAGGCGGGCATTGGCGGTGTCTGCGGGGACATGGCTGAGGCTATGGGGTGCGTCCTGCCGAGGGCAAGATGTGCAATTAGCCAGGCCAGCATCTAACGCCCCCACCCCCCCGGGTTAATCACTTTTACCATTACCTTTCTAACTCCAGGTTGACCACTTTTGCAATCGCTAACCCCCAGCCCCGATCATAAACTTGTAACCCCCCTCCCCAACCTTGGTAGCCTTGGGTCTCCTTATCCATGCTGGCTGTCTCCAGGGAAGGGGGGTTGGGGGGGCATGTGGTTGTCTAGGTCCCCACAAGGTGTTTCACACATGGCACTGACTGAGACTGACTTTTACCGGTCCCCTGACAGACATGGTAGGAGGCAGGCACCCCAACACGCCTCCTCACCGTCGCCGGCGCCCACATCACATCACATGACACATCACATGACACATCACATGTGTCATGTGACTCGGTGCGATAACAGGATGTCCGCCTGAAACACGCAAACGTACACACCCACACGTGTAGGGAACCGGGGAACTCAGCTGTGGATGGGTTTTAATGATTAAACAGCACTTCATAAATGTGCAAAACAATCTAAGAGCCTCTGAAAATGTTAGATATCCTATATCCTTTACATAATAATAAGATGTTTCACCCTTAGCTTCTACAGAATTGGACTGAATCATCTGTGACTGCAGTAAATGTTGGTAAGGGTGTAAGTAAACAGATTTAAAATATTTTTAGATTGTTTTGGCATTGTATGACTCTTGGATATATACTGATGGGTTTTTTTTGCACCCTTGGAAATGAACTTATTTCACAAGAAATGAACATATTTTCACGGGGAAAACAGTGAGCATATAATGACCATAAAACAAAACAGCGAGTCGTGGTGTTTTATCTGGGTTAAAGTGAGCGGCTTTCTGCCTGCTCTGCAGAATCTGCTCATTTGCGAAGGACTCCCGGTCGGGATACGAAAAGCATCCCGAAATAAACGTGCATTTCGACGAGGCGTCTCCCATGACATCGGGCCCCCGGGCTTTCATAATTATTTATCTCTCGGCATCGTTCTTGGCGGTTAGGCGAGCTGACTTCTCTGCCCTTTAAATGAATGCCCCCCCCCCCACACACACACCCCCAACCCGATTACATCAGAAGTGTCTCCCGTGTCCCTCCTCACCTCTGCCGCCTCGCTTAGGGAGCTTAGGGCAACTTTTCACATGGTTCCCAGCGATACTCATGTGCTGCTTCCCTTAAGAAAAGCTAGCTGTTGATCTTCATCACCAGGAGGGTAGGGATGTTTCATAGAAACATAGCTATATGGGCAGCCAGTGGATTAGACCATGGTCAACTGGCAGACTTTGGTCGACATCCTGACCGAAATACATTTGAATCTGGACCAGATGATCGACTCCTCCCCCGGTCGGCAAATTTTGTCTGCGGGCATTTTTTTCAGACACATCTTGGTTTCATGTTGCTGATGGAATTTGGCCATCAGGGGAAAATTTTTGTGGTGCCAGAAAGATACTGGATTGTGCTGGTACTGGGAAAGCTGTGGCCCTTCTGCCACTAGTTGTCATCGCCATGGTGATGCGACCTTGTCGGTCTTCTCCCCATTTAGGTGGTGAACGTGGTGGATGGCAGTCTGGGGCAGATCACTCTTCACCTGAGTCCCTTCCTGGTGTGTGGGGGCGATGGATTCACACAGTCCAACTTCGATGGCTGTATCGAGTCAGCTCTGAGAGTCGTCGAGATCCTGAAGTCCTCACTTTGAAGATTGGGGGGTCTAATCTGGGGGGGGGGGGTGTCTTCATGAATGAAAAGTGGTACAAGTTACCAGAATATCTGTCCTGGGAGGGTCATTTGGTTCTCGCTGGGTCTGGATGCTGGAAAAGGACGAGATCTTCCTGAAACATGACCTTGACGTTGAGGTCAATGTCGTCAACCTCACAGTGACACTTTCACCCTTTCCTGCAGTTCCTGCACAAGTGTCTTGATGTTTCTTCATGCGGGTGACATGTTTGAAAGTGTCCATTACATACTGCAGCATGCGTCACCGTGGGGAGGGGGTGTGGATTTGTCAGGGGGCCTCAAGGAGTGTCAGGGTGCGTCAGTGCTTCAGGCCTGCCGATGATTAGGTGCAGCAGCTTCTAAGTGAGTGTTCTCTACGTATGTCTCTATCGCACACAACCCAGAAAATGATATGAGAGTTGGGAGTTTCGTCTACAGCAGGAAGTTGGTTCCCATTACAGTGGCATCCCATCCAGGGCGTCCACAGTCTGGGCCTGGAGAGGCTCCAAAGTCACCCTGACCCTAAACTGGATAAGCAACTATGCATGAATGTCACTGTTTTTCATGTCTATTGTTTGTTGCTCTCTTTTATAAACAAATAAGATAAACTTCACATCTGACAGTGTTCTAGTTATGTGCAAAGCTTTCTTCCATGGCGAGGTGACATCCAAAACTAGGTGGGTTTTTTGAGTAAAGGTACCTTTGCCCATAAGTAGTTGCACGTATCAAAATATCTGCACAGGAAAGTGTTATTAAATTGTCATTGTGCTGTAACACTGGTGATCATCTTAAATCCAACTATCAGCTTTGAAATCTGAAGAGATCATTTCTCTGAGTGACAGTCACTCAGGCGGTGTGACTTTGAACTTCTCTCAGGAGTTTTACTCTGAAAATCAGTGTTCAGAGGCAGCAAGGAGACCCCAGCCATGACATCATATCCAGTGACATCATAATGGGTGTTAAGTAACCTACGCTGACCAGCTAGGTCACGGCTGACAGGTTCAGCGGCGATAACGGGACGTGTCAACACTAGCGAAACGCGGCGGCTGTCGAACCCTCATGAAGCCGTCCCACCGAGACCTTATGGCGCCTTCGCGATGGATGAGGGTGACCAACATCTGTGTCACGCGCCATGCAGGTCACACACAGCCAATCGAAGGAAGTAGAATCGTTTGTGTTGAGCGTAGCGATGGGAACTGAGCGGGGGTTGTGGTGGGGGGGGGAGGGGCACAGCGAGAGAGAGGCCGCGCTCTAGGCGATGCATAATTCATATGAGTCGCCGTGAGAGAGAGACGCCCAACCCCCCACGCGCGGTAGCCTTGCCACGCCGTTGCGTCAGCCGGGTGGTTTTCATTAATACGCTCATTACCAGCTGGGGGTCTTTGATCTTTTTTTAGAAGCCAATAAGAAAGAATTGGTTATGGATGAATGATCTGTTGGGTGCTGGGGGGGGAGCCGGGGGGGGGGGTCTGATTGTGATATGTTTTAAACCTCGTATGCTGAGATAGTGGGAAGACTGTGCTCTCGTTGGGACGGGCCTTGATCTCCAGCTCGGAGGCGGGAGGGAGGATGGGTGCGTGACTGGCTAATGCAGCCCCTGTATCCTGTCATGGCGGCCTGTTTAAAAGCTCCCGTCATTTACCCCCCCCCCCCACATCCATGTGATTTTCCCAGTTCTTTCCGAGGCGCCACAAAGCCCATGTTGACCATCATCGTCAGACCCTCCCTCTGATAAACCCTCCACTGGCGAACAAAGAGAAGCCACCGTGCTTGTCGGGGTGGTGGTAGGAGGGGGGGGGAGGGGGGGCACACGCATCACACGTCTGACCTATTTTCGTGGGCTGTTCGAGGGAGCTCGCCCGCCTTCACTGTGCACTGTGGGGAGCTGATTTGCATTTTTGCAAAGTCACTGGCAGATGGCACCAGAGGTTGGGGGAGATAGCAGGGTTCTCCGGGCCAACCGGGGGCAGGATTCAGGTCACACGTGTCATGTGACTCCTGGAAAGGTGCCCCCACCCCCCATCTCCCCCCCCCCCCGCTCCCCCCTAGTGCAATGAAAGGAAGCGTGTTTCGCAACGTTCACGCTACTACAAAGTTCGGGAGGGGAAGCGATGAATCACTCGTATCCTTGTGTTTCGCCTCAGATGCGTCCTTTCGCCATCCTGCCCCTTCACCTGATAATCTCACCCTCCAGAAGAGCAAAACACTCGCACGTGTGTGCACTCACATACACGCACACTGAGAGCACCGAGACCGCACGGGCCATCGTGTGTGTGCGTGTGCATGCGTGTGTGTGTGTGTGTGTGTGTGCATGCGTGTGTGTGTGTGTGTGCGCGCCCCCGTGTGCGCGTGAGGGAGCAGACGGGAGATTGCAGTGTTTAGACTCCTCATTTGATCTCAGGTCCCTGGAGATAGGCAGCCTGGATAAGGAGACCCGAGGCTACTGTGGGGGGGGGGGGGGGGTAGGGTGACATCACGAGGAACGCTCTCCGAAGCAGAACAGCTCTCTCGTCTCAGCCATCATCGATCCCGGAGAGGAAATCAGATCCTCACTTGCTGCTGGTCTGCCGTTTGAGGAGCGGTTTCTCCGTATCGGACTTTTAAGGGCATGGGGGGGAGCCAGCGTCTCCTTCCCTCCGAAACGCCTCAGCGCCGACGCTGACGTCACTCCTCCGCCCGACGTCAAGCCCGTTTAAAACGCGGAGATGCTCCGAGCCGGCTTCAAGGTGACCTGAACCCGTACACCCACCTTTAATTTTGTTTCCTGGGAGCTGTTTTTCAAGCAGCTGGGCGGGGGGGGTGGGGGGGGGGGGAGTATGCTGCGTTCTGTGCCTGGCGGTGGCAGGTCCCTCTGTTCTGTCAGGAAGACAAAAACAGGTTCCCCCTTTTTTGTTGAACCAGACTGCGGCCACCTCCTGGCCCGCCAGACTGCCCTGGGCTGCCGCCACACGTCCGTCAACTTGCGGGAGAGGGGGATGAGGCGCCGGGCGCAGGTCTGGGGTCAGCCATTAAGCCGGCTTGGGAAGAAGCAGCTCTCAGGACCGGAGATGGACACGGGGGGGGGGGGGGGGGGGGGATTTGCTTTAAAGGCGGATTTGTTTCCATGGACCTAAAAAACTTTATATTTGGAATCCATAAGGTATCATTCAGCTTCAGGCAAATCATGCAGATGAGAAACTGACCGAATCCCTCCTGCTGACGGATGGACGTGCTGGATTTAGGACCTGAGGGGGCTCCATTTTGGGGGAGAGGGTTGCTGCCACGCCCTCCGTGCTGAGTTTGGAGGAAGTGAGCTCTGTACGGAAAGGGAACTGTGGCCTGCGTGTACGTGGACACAGACACACACACACACACACACAGATGTCGGCTGCGCTCTCAGGGTCCAGACATTACAGCACATGTCCTCCCCCCTCCATTACATGCAGCTCTCAGCATACAGTCTGAAGACTGAGGACCTCTTGGTGAAACAGATATCCCAGAATCCCCCTTTACATCCTGAAGTACAACCAAAAGTTCAATCATCAATTGGACTGTGACAGTCAGTAAAATATTTAGACTCTAATTTAAAAAATATGTTAAAACTGATTCATGTTTTGTAAAACTGCGATGGACTGGAATTTTCTGCCAAATTGTCCATGGGTGTCTATGTGCCCTGTGATGGGTTAGTGCCCCATCCCGGGTTGTTCCCTGCCTTGTGCCCTGTGATGGGTTAGTGCCCCATCCCGGGTTGTTCCCTGCCTTGTGCCCTGTGATGGGTTAGCGCCTCATCCCGGGTTGTTCTCCGCCTTGTGCCGTGTGATGGGTTAGTGCCCCATCCCGGGTTGTTCCCCGCCTTGTGCCCTGTGATGGGTTAGTGCCCCATCCCGGGTTGTTCCCCGCCTTGTGCCCTGTGATGGGTTGGCGCCCCATCCCGGGTTGTGCCCCGCCTTGTGCCCTGTGATGGGTTGGTGCCCCATCCTGGGTTGTTCCCTGCCTTGTGCCCTGTGATGGGTTGGTGCCCCATCCTGGGTTGTTCCCTGCCTTGTGCCCATAGGTTCTAGGCCACCTGTGACCCTGAACAGGACAAGTGGTTACAAAAAATGTCTCATTTTAAAATTTAGAATATAGCCCTCAGCATTCCCAGTTTCTACTCTGTCATTTTGCATGTAGTACACTGACGGTATCGTTTATAAGTTCGATGTAGGCATCTCTTTAATGTCGAGATGAGGAAGTGATTATCAAGCTCGCTAGTATGAGTAATTCTGTAAACATTTACTGTAGCGGGGGCGGTGTGTAGACTCTGGACCTGATAATGTGATGCGGGTGGGGTGGGGGGGGGGTCATTATCAGCACTTTGAAACTGCTTCCTCGCTCTGGGATTAAGAGTGTGCCTCTCCAATTGGCCAGTTTCTGAGAAAGAGGCCTCGACGGTGAATCTCTGCCCAGAGATTGCAATAAACCATTGCAGGTCATTGATTGGGGGAAGGAGCTTCTTGTCAGAAATATATTGTGAGAGCAGCACTTGCCCTTTGAATACAGGGGTATCTATGGGACTTAAATATTCTGTCATACACTCACAAAATATCTCCCCTCGAGCTGTAAATATATAACCACTTCGGACATTACACCATGAAGGCGGAGTTTCCGGTGAAAGTCACTCATACTGATATTTGATTGGTAGCGTGACCTGACAGACAGGCCAGCTGTCCAGTCAGATGCTAGACCTCCAGTGGGGGGGTTTTTCATTTTTTTTTCCTGTAGTCTGGAGGGAGATGATGAAACCAGGGCTAAAACTGTAGAGAGGTGGGCGGGTCATAGCTACAGGACCAGCCTATGGGTCGACGAGGTGTGATGAAAATCTGATGCGTGAAATATGTTTTCTAATGAATGTAGTTTGCACTATACATCTGAGAACCGCATTGGTGCAATTAAGTGCCTGTATTGTCGCTTCTTAACAGTCGCTGGCAGTGCGTGCACTTTCCATAACCACTTATTCATAGGGTCAGAGTAATTCTGGAGTCTGTCCTGGGAATCTCGGGTCATGAGAGAGGAAACGTTCTGGACGATATATCACAGGGAACACACTGAGGTGCTAAATTTAGAGACTCCGATCCCCAAAAAGTACACTCCAGATTGTGAGGGTTACCCCCTACCCAGCCCTAACCTTAACCATAAGTAACCAAACAAAATACAAGACTTTTGTAAAACCAAGGCCAAGGTTGGCTGACCTGAGAAGTGACAGCACATTGCCTGGCCATCTCCAGGACGTTTTGGTTGGTTCTTATAACGAGGGTGCTGTGACGTGAGCTCACCGTTCCGTGTTTCTGACATGTGAGTCTTCGCATAGATCCCCATACTCCCGTAAGAGCCAGATCCCTCACATACGACACATTCGGAGTGTGATATATTAGCCGCAAACCTGCACTAAAAAGGCAGGTTTCTCTACCCCTGGCACATCATGTTAGTCGTCATTAGTCGTTAGTGTAAGGTCGTCATTGTTGGAATTAGGGTTTTTCCTAAAAGAATGGAGAGTCCCCACAAAGATGTGAATGCAAACATGTCCTCAGTGCTGTCACACGAACATTGTGCTTGAGGGTCCTCTATCCCCATCTGACCCCGGGTGTGTGACCTCAGAGGTTGGGTTTAGAGAG